AAAAGAATCCTTTTCTTTTCCCCTGAGGTTTCAAGCAGACAAGCTGCCCCGACTTCAATAAAACCATGGGCCAGCTTAGGGGTATCCCTGAGCAGCGTAAACCTCCAGCAAGAACCTTCCGAGACGATTATCCCCTCAAGCAGAGCTGCTCCTGAAAGTGCAAAGAAAGCTGCCTTAGAAGCTTGCAGTTAATTAGATTAGCTACGATTAACACACTCAGCACACTTACCTTCTCTAAGCTAGTTTGCACAGTTTGTAGGATCTCCACATCAGACTGAGAAACGGGGCTGCGTACCTAGACCTGGTCACTCTCCTTCTCTAAAGCTGATGGTATTTCACCTTATTTCAGTGCAGAAAAACGCCCCTGAAACACGCACCTTACGTGAGCATTCCTGTTGCTCCTTATGGGAAAGGATTAGGCAGCGAGATGGGGAATGGGGAGGGAACATGAAACTTGCCAACCCCTCAAAGATACCCAGAGAAATAAAGAGCTTTTGGCCCCAACCCAAACTCTGCAGCAAAAAAAAAAACCCAACCAAACCCACCAAGCACCTGCCTTTGGCAGTTAGTGTCCTGTGGCACCCAGGCACCTCTGTCCCGAAGGGAATTAAACGTAAGATAGAGACGACTTGTTCAGTTTTATCTGCCTTGGAGGACGAGCAAGATTCAAACGCGCACGGAAAGTTAAACCTCCGCCATTACAAAAAGGACTTCCCAATTTCTGCGTTTCCCTCCTCAAACACAACGAGCCCCGTTGACCTCGTACGACAACCCCTCGCCTTGCACGTCCTTGAGATCACTGCAAGGCAGCGGCATCTCTTCCACCTCTTGCCTAACTCAAGAGAAGCGGAAGGAGCGCCCGATGGCGATGCTGGAAGAGCAAGCTCATCCTTTCGCAGCAGCTCTGACAGACAAACTCACGCCAGCTCCTCAATTTGCAAGCAGGGATTGAGGAAGGAAGGTGACTTCAGCTCCTGGGCTCGTTTGGGTGATGGGCAGCAGGTTCCTCTGCAGCCGCACGCTCCGATCAGCCGGGTGCTGTCTGCTCCGCTGACCTGTGCGTGATGGCAACGTGCTTGAAATTCAATCCTCTCTTGACCTGACTGCCTGAAAAAATCTCAGTTCTTGGGTTTTCTGTCAAATTCTTCCCTTTCTTCCCCCAGAGCTTTGGTAAAAAACTTACAGTGTGGCTGGCAGGAAGGACAGGTTTGTTTCTGAAGCCTCAATCTGTCCGTCAGGGCATTGCTCTGATCGTTACTGCATCTCCCAGGTCACATTTAATGGTCTCCAGACACCAGGAACTCACAGCAGCACACGTATGGATGCACCCAAACCACTAAATCCTGCATGCAGTCCCCTCGCACCAGCCAGTGGAGCAGCAGGCTCCAAGCTGGATACCTACCCACTTGGCTGTATTTAGGTAAAGCCAGAAGTACCCAATTTCTTTCCAAAAAGGAACCAGACGTCACCCTGGCACTTGTCTCAAAGAGGACTCACTGCCTGAATCCTGCTTAGAACCGAGATGTCTCTCTGTAAAGACCAACTTCATACACAAGCACCCTCAAGAAAAGTCATAAACATCTAATATTCACCCTTTCAACATGAGCAAGGCCTCCCCAGCATCTATTATCAAGTCTAGCGAGGGGAAAAACCCACAATAAATCATATCCACGCACACGGGCGCCGGTGCATAGTAGGAAGCTGCAGTGTTTTATGCTCTGGGAACACTGAAGGGCACCAGCCGGGGCTCGGAGGGAGCAAGATAAGCGACGATAAGCGATACATAAAGCAAGAGGAAAAGTTGAAGTTCAGGGCAGCATCTGGCCCTGGGTCTGAGAGGGAGGCGAGAAGCACTTGTGATTACGCAGGAGCTCCTCCACGGAGCATCTCCAGGTTGAGGCCCACGCGCCGTCGTAAATAACCCACGGAAGGGAAGCGATGAGACGAAGGATTAGAACGCGAGGACAGCAGCTTTGAGAAAAAGCACCAATATTTACCCTGTGCTGAAGCAAAAGCCAAGGTAGATGCAGGGCAGGGGTGCGAGCTGCACCGGTCCTTCCCTCTCTCCCCATCGCACGTTGCCCACAACTGTTCACCAGGCAAGAAACAGAAACAGATTCAGACGAGCTGACAGCACACAGGGCTACTCCGGAGCTCGTGCAGACATAAAGGCTTTTTTTCTTTTTGATACAGCAGCAAGATAGAAGAAAAAAATGCCTGAAAAAGGAGCATCTGGAGTGAAAAGCTGATAACCTACTTTCGGTAGCAAGAGCAAACGACTCGGAGCAAACCCCCACGAGGAGTCCCGGCTTCCAGCTTCACTCTAGACCGGTACAAGCACGTCCCCAGTTTCCAGCGATCCAGCCCCGCAGCCCCAGTTTCGCGGGCTGGAGGTACGTATTTCCAGCGTGACAGAGCTCTCGAGGGCAGCCCGCCCGTCCGTAAGCAGCGATATCCATCTCGACGCTCCGAACGAATCCCAGCGCCGTAGCCTGGCGCATTCCAGCCCCGGCAGACAACGCCGTGGCTCAGCAGGGGGACACGAGGATGCCCGGTGGCCTCTGCTGAGGGTCCCATTGTCTGACCTGGGGCTTGTCATGCAGATCCCCGATGGAAAAGCCAGCAGCCCTCATGCTCTGGGCTTTTAGTGACAAGTCCAGGGCGCTTTGCTGACCGCACAGCGGGAACAGAGGGAGCTGGAGCCACGGGATGTGCTCGCAGGGTGAGACCACCCAGCTCTCCCCCCTGTGCATCCACACGACGTCCTTCCATGCAACTGAGCTGTCTCCAGCTCAGAACTAATATAACACACACCCGTACGCCACGGCACGACGCTTCGGAGCCCTGTCTGGGGTGGAAGATACATAAAGAGCGGCGCAGTGGGTTTACCCGGGATAGGATCGAGGAAGGAATAACGATTAAGAGCGTTTTTATAGCTTTACCCGCTCCTTAAGATTCAACCCTGTACCATTTTGACACAGTAAGAACCCTTGAAGGCTGCAGCGTCACCTCCACCCAGCAAGGCACCAGCCAGCACTTCACACCCTAAGCACCTGCAATTAAAACCTGGTGCAGAGCAGGGCTGCGGTTTTTCTCCTTAACCGTTCTTGAAAGGTTTAGTTTCCTTAGAAATCTAATCGCTACCTCAACCATGACAGGTCGAGAGCCTCTTACCTCCTCCCCACGCCAAACCCTTGGCAAGCACAGCTTTCACACCGCAGCACAGCTCATTTTTTGTTATTGAGGGGGGGTGGCAGCATTCTTCTCCTCTATTTGGATTCAAAAACCAGGCCAGCCAGCCAGGCACCATGACGTCCGCACGGCATGTATTTTAATCCTAGACCAAAATAATTTAAACCGAGCTTGCTGACTTCTCCTTAGCAAGCCATTTAAAGCTTCTGAAGCTGGGGAAGATGGGTGAGTTTGAGGGAAAAAATTAGGGAAAAAAAAAGAAAAAGGCATGAGTGAAAACTCCAGTTTATACCAGCCTTGCAAAGGTGTAGAATAAATCACGGGAGGAGGGCGTGAGTTGCTGGTGCCTGTCTTTTTTGGGTGGAAAACACTGGATGGATTTTTTTTTGGGTTTTTTTTTGGTTTTTTTTTTTTAAAGTCCCAGAAAAATTCAGTGCCCCCCAGAGTTTCAGTACTGCAGAAATGGCATCTTTGTTACTGAAGAGACTAAATATTTCCGATGTTTGAAGACCCTGATACCCACCCAAACCCCAGAGCTGGCTTGTTTCGAA